TCACACGCTTGAGGAATTCGGCCAATCACAACGCACTGGATAGCTGGCCAATCAGAGCACACCTCGCTTTTCAGACCGATGAGCTTTGTAAAAATCGACGCGTTTCAGAAAGGCGGGGCATAGAGGAGAAACAATAATGTACAGTATGTGGAAAAGAATGTGTTTTTTTAACCTTAAACCGCATTAACACATTTCGTTACACCAGATACACAAAATAATGTTCTTTTTAGCAACATCATATGACCCCTTTAATCTAGAACTACAGTAACAATCATGTTCCCACAGCACACACAACACCTCTGCACTTACTCCCGATTTCTCTCAAAATGGGAACAGGAGAATTGTCAGTTAATAAATGGGAAAACAAAGTAACTGGCATTACGCATTTAAAAAAGGGACTCAGATATTTTCTTGTAAAATAAAACGTAATGCGTTTTTTAACTAGTTACTTCAAAAAGTAATCAGATTACGTAACTCACGTTAATTGCAATGTTTTACCCCCAACACTGCTTACAAAAAAGGTTGATGGAACAGTGCTTACCTGGTGCACTAACATTACTGGTGTTCAAAAATATCATTGGCCAATGTTGTGTCAAGGGTTGGTGAATCACCAGGGATCCTGCAACATTCAAAACACTGCTTTATTTCTAACAAAGCTTTAATATCAACACATGGATGTATTAGGCTTGTATGTATTATTTATTTATGGGCTTGCAAATCAGACACATTTTCCTCAGTCACTGGCCCTTTAACAACAGAGCAACCTCACAATGTTTGTTCTTTGTCTTTTCAAATTATTTCACTTTAATTAACCCCATTAATCTGCATGAAGGGAGCCAAAGGCGAACATGTACAATCAGGTGTTATTAATCCAAGCTCCATGGAGATGCAGCGTGTGTGTGGATGGTTGAGAGGGTGTTTTTTTCAAAGGCCATGTCAATCCAAACCCTGAATGTGCAGGCATGGTTTTCTAGTAATATCTAGCAGGCAAGTATAATGTGCAGGATGCACCTTGAAGTCACTGGGTCAGGCAGATGTTATTACAGCTCATCGGGAATGACCTAGTGAGTGTTGCCATGGTGATAGTGCCAGCCAGCAGCATGCTGCATGTGCCAGTCCATATCAGCTTCTCAGGCGGCCGGCAGGCACAGCAGCACAAACAGTGTGGTTTCCTTTTCTGCTAGCCGTTTGTTCTTTATACTTCATTATTCTCTGACAAACCAAAAATGACAACAAACAATGACAAATGAGGAACATCAATAGAAAAAGAACAGTTTGAACATTTTTGTTATTAAAATATTACCATGTTTATTACAACACTTCTTATTTCAGTATATGTTTTTGGTTATTCATCATTTAGTACAAATATTCCTTATAAACAAAGCCTACCACCATACCTGTTATATCTTTCTGCCCCATTTCCAAACAAAAAAAAAAACACTGCAGGTTCAAGTTCTGCTAACGAGTTACAAAAATGAACTCAAACACCAATGAAAATATAAACTCAACACTGAAACAGCTCAAAAAAGCATACTTTTCTGGTCTTTGAAACTTCTCTTCCCTTTTATAATTGTGTTTTTGAGAACAGACTTCCTCAGTTATTGTGATTTCAACTCTAAAATTTAGCAAAAGTACTCTGTAAATATAAATATATGTAATTGATTTGCATTCCGCCGTAAGAAGTCTTTTTTGTGCTACAAACCATTGTATATTGTAATTTAGAGGCATTTACTCGAAATTATGTGATACTACTCGCATTTGCAGCCATTTTTATGACATTTTGATCATTTTCCAAAAAAAAAAGTTTAGTAAATAAAGCCTCTTGTCGTCTTTTCTGAGGAGATATCAAAAAGGTACTCGCGTTGTGGTCACGTTTCGAGAAAATATCGCGATACCTTGTTATTATCGAGCTTTTACGTGTTCTGTGATATGAAAATTAACGTTACACATAAAATAAAACAAATACTACTCACTATTATTCGTATTCATATATGCTTGATATGTCGACCATTAGGTGGTAGCATCGTGCAACAGCAAACAGCGCGAGACTTCTCTTGCGCGACCCGGTACTAATGCTCTGAGTGACGTCTGCACTTCCTCTTTGCTCCTGCGCCGCGAGGGCAACCATGGTGCGTAATATTGTCCTGTGGAGTTTCATCCAAAATCTGTTTTAATCCTAAATATCAGAATAACCTAGACCAAAACAAACTATACGGTGTGAATGTATACATCCTCGGCACCATATAAAATGTTTTATTGGATCGTTTATGTGACGAATGAGATGATTATTTTCCTCTTTTTGCCGATTTCCCAACTCGTAATGCAGATTTTTTAGTTGTAACCGCCTATGAGTTGTATTTTGGGATAATCTTAATAAAACACTAGTTTTTTTGTCTTAATGTAGTCGAAATGATTATGCACACTCTTTAACTTGCGAAATTTGCTGTATATTTCTCGAAAATGTCGATTAGCTTGAGCGCTAACGCTAGGCGGTATAATGAACTCGGGCTGCTTGAGTTCTTTGACAATATGCGTGTTTATCTTTAGGTGAACGTACCGAAGACCCGCAGGACCTACTGCAAGAAATGCAAGAAGCACCAGCCACATAAAGTGACCCAGTACAAGAAGGGCAAAGACTCTCTGTACGCCCAGGGTAAGTTCAGAGAGCTGACTGAGAGATTAGCAGTATGCTCATTGTCTGTAGACCTTTACCTGCATTTGTTTATCTGTTTCTTCTAGGAAAGAGGCGTTACGACAGAAAGCAGAGTGGTTATGGAGGACAGACGAAGCCTATTTTCCGGAAAAAGGTTTGTTGGGTCTTGCAGATGGGTGTCAGGAGTATGGATGCAAGAATTGCCACGTTTAACATTAGACCAGCAGTTTTCAAAGTCTTTTCTTTTAATATTGCACCAAAGCGATATTGTTGTATTTTAAAGCAAGTTTCTGTAATTAAAACACTTTTAGGTGTTGTTGCAACGTAAAGTAGTTTACATATACTTTAAATCAACAGTGTAGACCTAGTGAGGTTCATTTTATTTAATTAAGCAAAGGGTGTAACTTTTCTTTATACAGTAAAACTAAAAGAAATGTATGCTTTTCTAGTTCTTGACAAAAATTAGACCCACTGGTGTAGACTATGGTGGAAACTTATCTACACATAAACTGCAGGCCTGAAGTGTCTTAGGGTTAGTGTTAGCAGTATATATATATATATATTTTGACATGGCTAAATGTCTTTATTTGGCATTTTACTAAATAATATTGCTGTATTGGAATTTGGATGAATATTGAGCCTAAAGCCCCGTTCACACCAAGAACGATAACCATAAAGATAACGATATCGTCTGTTTATTCTAAGCGCATGCTCGTCTGCCGCTTTAAAGGGGACCTATTATGCTTTTTCAACTTCAGTACAACCCCAAAACAAAATCAAGACTTTGTAAAAGAGCATAATAGGACCCTTTTAAATTCTCAAGCTTTTTTTTTTCGCTCATCAGCTGAAAAAAAAAATCGTTTTGAAAGTGATTCCAACGATATCGTTTCTCTTTGTCTTTATCGTTATAGTTGTGGTGTGGACTCTGTGGTGTACTATTCTTTAATATTGAGAACGATTTTTATAACTATATCTTTATCATTATCTTTATAGTTATCGTCCTTGGTGTGAACGGGCCTTTAGGCTCTTTACAAGTGGTGTAACACTTGTAAAGAGCTATCCGATTACAAGTGGACAGTACTAAATACAAATTAATGAGGTTCATAAAAAAAAAAAGTAGTGGTCAGTCACATTCTTTTTCAACATCACAGCTGGTCACAGGAGGTGCATTCAAGTTGCATGTGTAACAGTGTTCTGTTTTACCACTTCTGATCAGATCACAGATAAACAGAGCTGAAAGTACATTTCAAATGTACATAAAGCTTTAAACTTTCCACAAATGACCCCCTAAGCATTTTAGTTGAGTCTAGATCTACTTTGATTGTGGGAAAGAAAGATTTTGCTACAGATTGATTGATTGTATGGATGTTTGCATATCAGGTGTGATTTTGTCCCTCCTTGTGCGGCAGGCTAAAACCACAAAGAAGATCGTGCTGAGGCTGGAGTGCGTGGAGCCCAACTGCCGCTCAAAGAGGATGTTGGCCATTAAGAGATGCAAACACTTTGAGTTAGGAGGAGACAAGAAGAGAAAGGTAAGGAATGCACATCAGCTGACCAGACTTAACATCACATTGGTCACCTGTTAAGAGAATGAACATGCCTAATTTCTATTCTCGTCTTTCTCTTACAGGGCCAGGTCATCCAGTTCTGAGCTGGGCCAAATGCTTCTATTGTGGTTTACCATCACTGTCAATAAAAGTTGTATACAGTTATGCGGACTCTTGCCTTTCATTCATCATCAGTATCAAACTGTGTTTCCAAATTAAGTTCCACACAAGTGCACCATAGGGGACCAAAATAGCAGCTGTGCTTCCATAAATACATACAAAAATGTTGCTTTAACAGCAGATCTGTTGTGTCTCGTGCAGCTGTTGAGGTAAAGCAGATTATGCATCCCGCAGCGGAAGATAAATCTTTACTTAGACTCTTACGCAGTTTTGTGTGTAGTGAGGGACAGAACAAGGAGACACACCACACATTAAAAAATGAATGTGAGAAACACTTAACTTGGCAGCTGTAGGAAAGAAAGTTATGTCTAAAGGCATCCCCTGGTGTTTTTGCGCTAGAAAGTACACGCATTACATTAGATCATCCTGAAAAGTGCATTTTTAGACTGATCAGAGTTAAAGCAAAATTCATGATTACATTGTCAGTTTTGATAGCTAATTTGATGTATGTAAATAAAATTTACTTTTGAGATTTCAGTGCTTCCCTATTTATGTGGATACCTGTACATACAAGACTAGGAAAAAAGCTGCCAAACAAACCCTTTGTTTAGAACATTTATTTTTAATAATAGACAAACAAGTGTGCTCAGTGAGGAAAAAAAACTAAAACTTGCATCTCAAAGGTCAGGAGTGATTCAGCCATTGCATATAAACTAAAGGTTTTAGATCTTCTCAAAAGTGGTCATGGACACATGCATATATGTTCACTCTGCAGAGAGAACGTGTTGTACCTTTCCTCAACTGGATTGATTTTAAACGGGCTCACAAAATGGGATACTGGGAAGTTCAGAAGTCTTAAAAGGAGTCAGGGTTGCAGGGCAGGGTGAATGTCCTCATTTCTAAGCACTTTGTACGTGATCCAATAGAACACGTTGAAAACGAGGAAGCTGAGGGGGAAGACGGCTCGCGAGATGGTGTCGATCCGCTTTGCTCGTTCCGCGAAGCGGCGGCGGATGTCAAACAGAACGTGGCCAGGTGGCAGGCCCGCAAACATGGCAGCAGCCTCAGAGAGAGGCCCATCCCCAGACAGACAGCTGTCCATCCCGTATCCCGGGAAGTACAAGTCCTGATTCTCTGAGGCTAACCGCTCTTCCTGAAGGAAAACATCACCACAAAATATATGAATATACACTATCGTTCAAAAGTTTGGGGTCGGCACGATTTTTTTATGTTCCTAGAAGTCTCTTATGTTCACCATGGCTGCATTTATTTGATCAAAAATACAGTAATCAGTAATCCTGTGAAATATAATTACAATTTTATTTATTTATTTATTTTAAATATATATTTAAAATGTCTTTTATACATGTGATGGGAAAGCTGAATTAACTTGTTGGTAACGTTAGCGAAATGTTCTTAGAACATATTTTTGTTAGCCAGGCTTTAGTTTTAAACAATGCATTTACTCTCTAAGATACATATGTTTTCTACATAAAAATAAGTCTTTATTTGTTTTTTAGTCTAAATATGTTTTTGTCAGTTTCAGCGGTTTTCTTTGGCTTTTTCTTCCTTTCTTGTATACCAGCTTTCTTTGGCTTTCCTCAGTCTTCCCTTTTTTTCCCAGGTTACTTATTCTTGGTGATATTTTCAATATATATATCTGTCTGTGTGTCTGTGTCTGTGTCTGTGTCTGTCTGTGTGTGTGTGTGTGTGTGTGTGAGATATCAATAGTGACAGCATATTTATTCCTTAGGGAAAAGATGCTTTTTTTTTTTGAGAATGAGATCCAGTCAGTTAGGTGTGTTTGTGTTGAATCACATTGTGTACAGGTCGCTGCTTTGGGTGACTTAGTGCACATGAGATCAGATAGCCTACTGCACCGTTCTGCCTGTGACCAAACAGTCAGTCAGACTGTGTGTGTCTGTGTGTGTATGTGTTTGTATGTATGTGGCTAACACCACATGCATAATGGGGTGTATGTGTTTTATATGTACATTGTGCCTAAAAGCTTGAGTGCAGTAGTGTGTAAGCATGTTTGCATGTTGCATGCCTAACAGCATCCCTAAGGCAAATGAGGGGGCACAGCGCCACCAACTCACCCACTGGGTCTCTCTCTCTCTCTCTCACACACACACACACACACAGCCTGCCCTGCAGGGCGATAGAGGGGAGATGGAGGAGGAATAGAAAAGGACAGGATAGTGTAATATTTATTCTCTCTGCTCTTTGTGGCAGGACAGTGTCTGCTGTGTCCAAAAGAAAGCCACGATGTTCTCTCAACTAGCTGGTTAGGAGTAAAGATAGGGAAATAACTGCAGTTTCTGCTGACAAAAACTCCTGAGAGGAATCTGGGAATAGTCTTCTATTCCAGGCAGACAAAGAGCATGTCTGGGTCATAATACAGCTCAAAAATCCGACAAAACGAGAATTTATGTATTACATCAAGGAAATGAAGCCTATTTTTAGGACCATTAAAAGTGCTTTGGGAAATTTTCATGACAAGCACAACTACCCCCACCCCATTCTCATTAGCATAATGCATCTGGATGTTTTTCTTAAGGGTTTGTTTGTATTTTTTAATGGAACACATATTAAAAAAGAACTACTTATTACTTTTACTCAAATAATATATATACACTACAGAAACGTTGGTGTTGGTAAGATTTTTTTATGTTTTTGAAAAAAGTATCTTATGCCGACCAAGGCTACATTTATTTGATTAAAAAATATGAGTTAATACTGTGAAATATTAAAATCTAAAATTACCATTTTCAATATTAATATATTTTAAAAGTAATTCATTCATGTGATGGCAAAGCTGAATATTTAGCAGACATTTCTTCAGTCTTCAGTGTCACTTGTGAAAGAAATCATTGTTTTTTTTTTAAGAGTTTTGTGAAAAACATGATTTTTCACAAAGTCTTTACTGTCGTTTTTAAACAATTTAATGCATCTCTGCGGAATTTTTAATTTACTAAAAAAATCTTACTTAAATGATAGGGTAAGTACATTACTTTTATTTGTACAGAATGATAGTATTTGTTGAACTGAAAAATATATTTTTTATATTTTTTACTCTTTGGGGTAAAAAAAAAAGTTTTTGGGGGAGGCTTCATGAGATTCACCTTGATAGTCATTGAGTATAACAAAGCAAAATAAATTTCTTAAAAACTGATTTTCAGCGTCAAAACAGGGTCTTCTTAATAATCAGACATCTTAATATTTATAAACTATAAGAAAGCCATTTGTAGGTTAAATTCCCCCAAGCTCTGTAATGCTCACAGAGTTTATTTGAGCATCCGGACCAGCTTGACCCAACAACACTGGATCAACCAATGGTGTGAGCTTTGAGTAGGGCCATCTGTCTTGCCAACCAATCATAGATTCAGGTTCAGAAAACCTGTTTGAATACAATTACTGTTTTAGCATTTCCATTTGGTAAAAGAGAAATAATGCTTAATTTATCAGTTCAGCTAAGCATTTGGTATTCTGCTTCACTGGGACATTTTCCAGATTTAAAATCCTGCAGCTCCTTCACTTTCTTCCCATTCGTGTTGTCCCACATTTTGTGTGTGGAAAGAACAGTATTACTCTGTGCAATATTCATGACATGGCTTTATGCCATCGCTGACCTTCCTTCCCTGCTCTGAAGGGCACAGCAGGCTGCTCTCATGAAAGATCACAGGCACACAGTGATTGTATAGTATCTTAAGGGCACTCAACGCAAGTCGCGTGTGTATGACAGAGGACAGTTTCAGACTAACACTCACAGCTCTATAGCGTTGCTCTTCCCGCAGTTTTCTCCTCAGTCTGAAGAATTCTTTATGTTGCCGAGAGACAAAGTTAACTGCTGCGTACTCCAGCAAAGCAGCAAAGACGAACAGCAAGCACACTGCCATCCAGATGTCAATGGCCTTCACATAGGACACCTGCATGCATGCACACATGGAATATTCTGGATTTAACAAAAATGTAGCATCTGTCAAATGCTGTCAATTAACATAGAAATCCATTTGAACAAAACATGCAGGTTTGGAACAACATCAGGGGGATTAAATAATGACTGAAAGAAGGTGGCTGATTGGATAGATAAAGTAGATTCCTACCTTAGGCAGTGATGCTCTGGATCCAGAGCTCTGTGTTGTCATTGTGAGAACTGTAGTGATGCCCAGGCCAACACGGGCCGGGGCGGCATCCATGTTGATCCAGAAGGAAACCCATGACAAGATAACTGTTAAGAGGCTGGGAATGTACATCTGGATCAGGTAGTAACCCATCTGCCTCTCTAGATGAAATTTCACCTCTATACAGGTGAATTGACCTGGGTTAAACACGCAATCATGTTAGACAGCGAAAATAAATGCATGCCATTTGTATTCACCAACAGAGCTGGGTAATAACTGATTCCATGTCATCTGTATTACCTAATCAAATTCCAAAAACGAAGTACTTATAATTAGATTACATTTCATTTTAAAATACTCATAATCAGATTACAGTTACTTTTTTATGGATTACATGATTACATATTATTTACACAGTTAACAATTAATTATATCATCATATTCATAATTTATTGATTCTCCCTAATTCCTCTTTTTCATCTTTGAACTTTTCTTTCTAAAATAGCCTACTGCTTATATACACTCAGAAAGTCTTCCAGTTTTGTGGACGAGATCAGTCATTAATCAGGTGGCTATACAGTATTTGACCACTGGATTCAAAAAATCATTTCAGGTTTAAGAAGTGTTTCAACATTGCATCAACTACATGAATTTTTATTTGAATTATCACTCAGTTGGTTACTTTACCATGTATTACTTTGGGAGGCTTTTGTCTTTCAAACACATTAAAATGCACAAATTCACCAACTTTTCTGTCATCTGATCCTCTTTCACCAAATATATTTTTATATAAAGTAATGAAGCATCACATTTGCATGGTTATGGTTCTCTGACATTGGTTATGGTCACATGACATGCACGTAAACAAATAAAATATTTCATTTTTTTTTTCATTAAGTGTTTTATTTTGATTCATTTTAAAATTCTTTGTTTTAATTTAACATTTGAAAGATTTAATTAACTTTATTTTATTTTTTTTTAATTAATCATTTGCTTTTCATTAAACTCATGAACCCTCTGCAGTTCCTTCACAAACCCCAGTTTAAGAAACCTTGACATAATGTAATGTTTAATGCACTTCATGTTGTTCATAACAATAAATGGAATATGTTTTCTTCTCTTTGTATTTTTAAGTCAATATGGTACAAGATGATCCTATTTAAATCAATGCAAAAAACAAGAGAGGTAAAAAGTAAACTAAAAGTAATCAAAAAGTAGTCTGTATATTACCTAAAATGGCAACCACTCCAAACACCTTAGCAACTGCATAGCAACATTCTAAGAACCTCATTGAACAACTGAGAAAACGCATAGCAACCCCTTGACAACCACTCAAAGCATTACTAATTACATCCTCAACAGCGTAATTAGATTACAGTACTAATTACTCTCTCTAAAAAGTATTGTGTTACTTATTACTAATTGCTTTCTAAATCCCATATCAGCATCAACCAGTTGAACAATACATGATACTGCTCTTTTAATTCTATCAAATAAATAATGTAAAATTGCATAAATTATTCTTGAATGGACCAAAGTATTTAAAGTGAGAGGGTTATATTAAAAACATACATTTTAACATAAGATGTTAAATTTTGATGTTAAATCCACTATTGTTTTATATAGAATTGTTCTACAGTCTATAAAGTATTTAATGCAATTACATCAGAGGTAACTTGAATTAAATTACAGTAATTCCCTACTCTACTTTTTCAAAGGAAATATAATTTAATTAGAGTAAGCTTAGTAATGCATACACTCAACACTGGTTGTAAAATCTGTAAAAATGTATAATGGTGGAATTGCAATAGCATACCAGTGTTGTAGTGCTTTGTACAGTATCCCAGATCTTTCTCCTCTTTCAGGACAAACTGGGGCAGCACAAGGTCATCAGCCACTTGCATTGGGCCTTCATCCAACCACTGAAATATCAGATCATTCATAGTGTAGCCAACTAGAGAGAGAAAGACAGAGAATAATGAGCATATAAAAGAGAAATAAGATAAGCATGAGATTAGTTGATGGATGCTCAGTCTTACAGCTCTCTAACTGCATAGTGCAGGTCTGTGTGTCCATTGGAAAGTTCTTCAGATCCATAGGACACGACAGAATCAGAGTGAGTCTGAAAGAGAGAGAGATATCGGATGATCATTCATGTAATGGTTTGGAATGATATGTAATCTATAGGGGGTGATATCGCACCTGATGCTATACAGCACATTTCCATTCTGGAAAATCCTCAGCAGTTTGTTGTCCGTGGTGACCTCGTGAAAGTTGGCGCCTTTTTCATTGGCGAAGAACAAGTCTGGCTTCCAGATGGAGTCCAGCATGGATGGGTCCAGATCCAGGGAATCATCTGGATACTCTTTATAAGCCAGCCGTGGGTCATTCCACTGCTGCCGTAGAAAAACGTTCAGCCGATAATCCTGAGGAGTTAGTGTTCAGAAATACATCAGATCACATTCACAGCAGCTGAGGCAAATACATTTGATAAAACATGACAGATGTTAATGTACAACAATTATTTCCAGTCCACTATTTATTTACTTATTTATTTATGACAAATTAGTGGATTTAATTCATGTAACAGCACTGGACCTTTCCATATCACTCCACTTGCCTGTGTTAATTATGGTTGCCAAATTGTGTCTAAAATGTCAGTTAATAACTTCTTAATAGCTTTAAGAATCTATCATTCATAAAACTGAGTCTGATGATTCTAGTCCGAATAAAGTCTGAATGTCATGTTCAGGCTTGATTCTGATTATTTTAACTCTGTTTTGAACAGTGTACTGTGGTACATTCTAGACCAAACATATTTCTGATAAGCTATATACAGGTGCATCTCAATAAATTAGAATGTCGTGGAAAAGTTCATTTATTTCAGTAATTCAACTCAAATTGTGAAACTGTGTGTGTGTGTGTGTGTGGATTCCTCAAACTCTAAACCAATGTAATGTGTAAATTTAATGATCATTCATTTAATGCATACTGAAAAATTCTCCCTAGGAGTATAGTATGTTTAGTGTGTGTGTGTGTGTGTGTGTGTGTGTGTGTGTACCATGGTGGTCTCTGTGATGGAACCAAAGCTGTTGATAAAAATGTTGCAAGTAACATTTACTGGAGGACCTAAAAAATGAAAGAACAACACAATATGAAACATTAGCATATTACTTAAAAACTTAAACCAGCTTAAACCGCTTTGCTGGTCTTTGCTGGTTTAGAGTGGTCTAGCTGATCCCCAACCTGGTGTTTTGCTGCTCATCCAGCCTGACCAAAAAGTGGCCAACATACCAGACCAGTCTGGAAAATCAGCAAATCATATTAGGCTGGTCTAAGCTGTTTTTTTTCATCAGCAATAAACAATCCACTAAAGATAAAACTAAACTGAAAGCCAAATGTAATTCGCGCAAATCTTAGCCGAAAGAAAAACATTGAAAACTCAACCTCTGCGTCTCCCATTTTAACATATTAGATTAGATGAATAATTCACACAGAATTGAACTTCAGTGTCTTGAATAAAAAGAAATCCACAAGCAGCAAATAGCAACAGATAGTTTCCAAGACAAAACACTTGAAGAGGTTGTCCAAGACACAAATTAAATCCAATTACAAATTATCAAAATAAACCATTTTCGCAAACATAGAGAACTAGACAACTGTAAAATGCCCCATTTACTTCAAATGAACTACACAGCTGTTCACTGCTATTCAGCCAATATGTTAAATTAGCATTCAGTTACTTTGTAAATATTTGATTGCAGCATTTTATTTATTGATTTAACGTTCATGACATTAGTTATATATATAGCTTATCAGAGGGGACATTTCCCTCCACACATGCTGACAGACAGCCACATCTCTAAGATGTAGAACAGATATGAAATATACACGAGCTCAGAGACGCCTACTGAGAGAGAGCAAGAGATCATGAGAGAAAACGAGAGGAAGGAGGGAAGAAAAAGTATGAATAAAAAAAATTCCAGTTTTAAAAAACATAAGCAAGAGAATGAGAGGAAAAGACTTATTTAGGTCTTTGGGTTAACATGCACTCGAGTGGACAGCACAGCAAACTAAATGGCCCTGATGCCAGCGGAGAAACTGCCCCTCACGAATCCTCACAGAGGCTGTTGTGACACTTTTTACGGAGAGAAATCTAGCGTGAGCTGACAGCCGTATCCTGCATGTTTCTGAAATCATTCTCATCGTCTGGGGCTGAAATTCTGTTTCGTATTCTGTCGGTTTTCGTCTCTGAACGCCTGTGGGTTTCTCTTGTTGAATGGTGGGGATGGTAAAAAATAGACCCGGGGGGGGGGTCACATAGTTTAATGAGATCTTATGTTGCTCTGTGTTTTCGGGCCGCAGCACTTTTTCACACGCGAGGCTCACAGAGACTGTATTCTTTAAATATATATATATTCTTTGCTGACCGCATCACATTTTCACAGAGTTCTTGCCAAAACAATCTATGTAAAAGAGATTAAGCTGCAACAGCAGTTTTACTTACTTCTGTGTTGCTTTATATGATGTTGAAAAAATGACCAAGATATCGTTGTGGATGTCTTTAGTATGGTCTGCATATGATTGCTTTTATTATACAGTTAATAAAATCATCATATAGGCTAAATGCATTTTTGCATTTGGTTTCCAAATGTCCATTGTATACATATAGAGATGCTTTAATAAAAGAATTGGGGTCAGTAAGATTATTGTTTTGAAAGAAATGAGTACTTCTCTATCCAGCGATGGATGCATTCATTCAAATGATCGAAAAAGAAAAACATTGAAAACTCAACCTCTGCGTCTCCCATTTTAACATATGTAACCCTGGACCACAAAACCTTTGGATTTTAAATGACCAGATTTACATTGTGGGCTTTTGGACTGTATATGTGCGTGCGTTATTAATAAGTATGCTCTCTATGAGCTCTTTCAGTTGTTCATTTTAAAATTCACTGTGGCCAAAACCCTTTGTTATCATTCCATTATTGACTGAATGCTTTGGTAATAATGTATGCCAGATTGAAATATTAATGCTAGAGGGAAATCTGGTTGCTAACAAAATACCTGATGAGTCTACTTAAACCCTTTAATAAGGCTTTAAATGAGCACATCAGAACATCTGTCTCATGTTTTATTAAAACTCCTCTCCACCTGACACGTTCTGTCTGTTTCTCTGTGTGGCTGCAATATAGCGGTGACATCTTTATTGCCTTAAACCTAATTGCAGGTTGTTGTAGGTGTTAATATTTTATTAAAAAAAGAATTCAGTAGAAGTCCAAGCAGAGAAAAGGACAGCACTTTCTCTCAAACGCTTTGAATCTTATTCCATATTTAGAGAAATTTTCCGGTCCAGTTCCTCTTCAATTTCCCTGTCTGTTTGTGAGCAGAACTGTGGCAAATCTGATTTGTGAAAGTATAAAGTCCGTCTCATGCAGCGTATAGGGAATGGAAATAAGACACAGAATGAATGCATCCTCAGGTGAGACTTACAAGCCCTTATTGTCATTCTAAAGAAACGTCTCGTTCCAGACAGGCCAATAATAGTTCTATCTCATTATGTGGACTTCAATAAATCTGCAATTTCAGTAACAGTGAAAATGACTTCAGACAGAGCTGTCTCTATGTGTCAGCCTCATACTTCAGAGACCCAGATACATAAAGCCAACAAACACAAACACACACACACACTCAGAAACATAAGAACGCTCTCCGGGATTAAAATAAACCTATCACCCATGAAGACTACTGAACTGAACACACAAGCCAAATACAGACGACTGAGCACACAAAAGCGAACAAGTATGGAAATTCAAATATTAGGGAAGAAACAGGTCATTTTAACACCTGAAAACACTTCAAACTATATTTAAATCTTCACAAACAGCCTCTACAAGTGTTTGAATGAATCACACGGTGATGCCAGTGAGGAATGATGGCACACCTGTGAAAAACTCACCTGATGACCCCTTCAAACATCCACCAAACCAGTAAGAGCTCCAGCAGGATCCTCCAGAACAGAGAAAACATCCTTTCACTATTCAGCTGCTCTCTTTTTCTCCCTGGTGTCCTGTGGCTAAATCTCAGTAAGCAGATGTGTTTTGGAGGGGCAGGGCGCCCATTCCGATGCACTCTGGTCTCTCTTCCACTGCCATCTGACTGAGCACCGCATCCTGAGACGGGCACACTAAGAGACGTCTGTGTGTGTGTGTGTGTATACAGGGGGTCTTCTGCTCTTTCTTTCTCTCTGGCCACATGCTAGCCTGAGGTGCAGTTCTAGCATGGAGAAGAGAGAAGGCAACAGGGCGTAAGATGCGTTTAAAGACTTTTATCAGAATAAACAACTGTGACACGACTCCACCTGAGGGGCTCCAGATCCACATCCCAAGACGCACTGCAGCAGAGGACAAACATCCATCCATCCACCTCCTCTGATATCTTGAGTATATTCAGTAGATGACAGAACAAATGCTTCCTGTTATTAAACAGCAAGAATTTAGGTTCAGCATTGTTCAGTTTTTTTTTTATTTACATTTTAGGTTCTGTGACTCGTCACTATTTCTTTTGAATTTTCCAACATTTTTAATTACCTTTGTGTCTCTTGCAGTTCACGTCAATAGTCCTGTGGTGAAAATATAATAATGTCTCAGTTTATATGAAACATAATGTACACACTACCATTCAAATGTTTTCTCTTATGCTCACCAAGGCTAGATAATGTTTATTTGGTTATATGAAACATCTTTTAATACAGTTTTAAAAATGTTATTAAAACGTAACTTATTCCTGTGATTTCTTTCAGAAATCATTCTAATACGCTGGTGTTCAATAAACACTTTTTATTATCAAGAATTATTATCAATGCTGAAAACATGCAAAACATTATCTAGCAATATTAAGAACAAAACAATATATTATTAATGATAAAAACATTTTTTTCAGGATTCTTTGAGGAATAGAATGTTCATAAGTTTATATATATTATTTGTAACATTGTAAATGTTGCTCTCTATATATAGATGGAATATATTATGGAATGTCTCCATAATGATAGGAATACCAGTGTGTGGTTTTGAGAGCAAAATGTACAGCATCCCCGTTTCCATCATTTTCCCCCATCATACTGTTTTACATGAACCGGCAGCTGTATAGGAGAAAGACATGGAATAAAGAAGATTGAGAAAAATAAGGCAAGAATATAGTTAGTGTGGGTGTAAAAAAAAAAAAAAAAAACTGAAAGAAAGAGAAATCCGAGCTTTATGTGCGTGTTGAGTCACAGTGGATAACTAGGCCAGTGTTAATTTTAATGTATCTTCACTCCAGTGTGAACAAAACTAAAGAATAACAGACCCAGTTTTCTCAGAAATCACACACACAGCGGTCACGTCGATGATGTGTTTACGTTGCCTTGACCTCAGGAGGAATTAGAGCAAATGCCTAAACTACACCACACACACACACACACCACTCCACTGATTTCTACTCATTAACATGCCTGAAAACAGTATTATTAATGAATGAATCGTAAAATCTGAAATTCGCTTTGTCAGTTTCCACAGAGGTTAAAGGTACTCAAGTCAATCTCGACTGAGAATTGCTGGCAGACTCCAGAGTAACTAGCGGGGAAGCAGACATTTATGTGTTTGTGTGTAGGCCTATGTATGTACGGGTCAGCGACATCCACCCTGTTCATATGCTTTAGAGCAGTGGTCGCCAACCCGTCGATCGCGATCGATCCAATGCACTATTAATGATTCTTATCATCCGGTTCTTTTACCAAATATTTAAAAAATGAAATAAAATTAAAACAATTATAATAATAAAAAAAAAAAATGTGATCCTCTTTTTTGAACATAAAAGTTTATATATAATTTTTAAAAAGTAGAGCTTAAAAAAAAAATTATTGTAACTGTCAGTGAAGTCAAACACCTATAAAGGCATAATCTGTACATGGTACCCAACTCAGTGCTGATTAAAGTGTGACTGATGCATCGAAATAGCATTAACAAACAGTATTTGGAGACATTAAAATATTTCAATAAACATCAAAGGCTATTTTTTCTATGGCTATCACTCAGCAGAAAGACAGAATGAGCAATTTGCTATTACTCTGACCTGTATATCAGAGCACTGGTGCATAAGGAAACAGGTCAAGGCTACTTT